AGTTCTGCCGTTCTTTGCCTTTTTCTTATTTGTGTGTCTATTTAACATTGCTGAAGCATTTCTTTTCTATTATTGGTTTTAAAAGATGGGAAAGGAGAGTGATGTTAGCAGTTTGGTATAATAAGAAACTCAGATAAATCCTCTCCCCACAAGGAGAGTATTAGCAAAAAATGCTGAAAATCAACTTTGTAAAGACTCTTAAAGTTAACTGAAGGCCAAGAAAACAACTTGATATTGGTTAAAACAGTGAACTTTGTGGTATTATAATGTTGTAACTCACCTTATTCCCATCCTGATCTTTGAGTGTATATCAAAGCACAAGGGTCCAGCTTTGGCAACACAATCCTGAAGAAGAATGAGGAATTACACACTTCCTGATTCTAAAGTTTACTAAAAGTTAGTAAACAAAACTGTGTGGTACTAACTTAGTAAAGTCATAGGTCCGTGGAACTGAGGTAAGAATCCAGAAATATCCCCTTTATTTATGTTCAGTTATTTTTTAACAAAAAAGCAAGACATTTCAATAGGCAAAAATTAATTTGGTACAGATTTTAAAATTAAATGTAAGAGATAAAACCATAAATCTTTTAGAAGAAAACATGTAATCTTTCACGGCCTTACATTAGAGAATAATTTCTTAACTATTTCTTAGCTATTACACCAAAAGTGCACAGAGAGAAAGAGGGAGAGAGAGAAAGAGAGAGACAGAGAGAGTAAAATCATAAAATTAGACCTTATCAAAATGGCAAAATTTTGTACTCCAAAGGACACCATCAAGAAAGGGAAAAAGAAAAACTACAGAATAGGAGAAAATGTTTATGGCATATATTTGACAAGATCTAGTATCCAGAATATATAAAATCTCTTCTAACTCAATAATAAAAGACAAATAATCCATCTTTTAAAATTTTTTTATTTTATATGTATGAGTGTATTGCCTGCATGTATGTAAGTGCACTTGTGACATGCAGTGCCTGTGGATGTCAGAAGAGAGCATCAATCCCCTAGAACCAAAGTTATGGATGGTTGTTAACTGCCATGTAGGCTGGGAATCAAACCTGGGTCCTCTGCAAGAGCAGTCAGTACTCTTAACCACTGAGCCGTCTCTCTAGTCCCCAAATAAGCCATCTTTTGCAATGAGCAAGGGATTTGGATATATTTTCAAAGAAGGCATACAAATGGTCAAAGGGACATGAAAGGTGTTTCATATCATGAATGACTAGATAACAGAGGCAAAGGTGTAATTAGATACTTCACATCTACCAGATGGATGACATGAGGTGTAGGTAGTGCCACTCATGGGGAAAATTAGAATCCACATGTTCTAGTGAAATTCAAAAGGTGCAGCCACTTAAGAACATTTGACAGTTCCTCAAAAAGCTAAATGCAGAATTTCTATATGACCTAATAACCAGTGAATAACACAATCTCATCTGGGAGAGAACTGAACTTATGTCTACATAAAAACTCATACTAATGTTCATAACAGCTTTACTATTCACAACAGCCAAAGATGAAGCCACCAAAATGTCCATCAACTGTGATTGTAGAATGTAAAATGGTATTTAGTCTCCAGAGAGAATAAAATCCTAACACTGCTACAACACAGATGAACCTCAAAAACATTTGAAGTGAAAGAAGCCACAAAGGGACACGTTATATAAGTCTTCACGTCATACATTTCCAAGGTTAGGTTCCTGATGTCAATCTAACTAGTATGGAGTAGATGGAACACTTTACACACATTAATTCACCGAGTGGTAAAATGTTTCTCTTTAATAAACAAGGGTGAAACAATCAAAAATTTGTCGTAGAACCATAGTTTTACTAGTTATAGTACAGAGAAAGTCACTTTATATCATTATCTTGCTCATTCTATATTCACTTTCTAAAGCTTCTTCAAAATACACCATGTTCCTCCTACTTCAATTTAGCTATAACATGACCACAAAATACAGCCTTGCACTGAAACCACAAGTAAGGGCAACAAACAGCTTTAGTGGAAGGGCCAACTCCTACTGATTGGTATTAGCTACATGGAGCACTGTGTTTAGAAAAATTCTGAGGTTATATTCAGGTTGGGTAGGAAAAGTGGGCTCATCAATTCAAAACATTGATCTTGAACTAGGCAGTGGTGGTCAAGGAAGGGAGTACGTGGGCTTTGTGGTTGAACTAGGAAGACATGCTATTTTACTGAGTGGATGTAGAGCAGGTAGATAAATAAGCCTGCGGTAGCTAGACTACAACTAATAGATGTTCACACAGCATGGCCTAAAACTGAATTGAAGATCTGTAGTTTAAATATGTAATCCCAGTATTTTGAAATAGCCAGTATTTATGGATGAGATGTCAAAAATCACTCAATAAACAGCACCAACTTTTATCATACAGCATATCAAAGTATTTTAAATAATGCATTTTATACTGTATATGCCTCAGAGGAGCTTGACAAGAGATTATTAGCATATGCTCACAGTTAAATCCAGCATGGTGAGAGAGAGTGTCAAGACAGACGTTTTTAAGATGAAGTTTTACTGGTCTCAAACTTGTCATCCTCCTGCCTGAGATTTCATGTACCAAGAATTACAGGTATGCACCACACGCCCAGCTCAGTGCAGACTTTTTAACAGCATTCACTGAAAAGCACAGATTTTACCAGCAGATGGGGGCTGCCAACCCGCTCTTACACACATTCACTTAACTTTGAGTCTTTTGAGTAGAACCATCTTCTCCCTCCTAAGCATGCTACGGGAGTCTGTTGAACTTTCTTTGCTAGACAAGAGGTTCTCAGAGAATGAGCCCTATTTCTCTGGCAGACGTTGTAAATGTACTTGTTAAAGTATGGTCCCCTAGACCAGTAGCCCCAGTATCACCTGGCACTATCCAGAAATGTGATCAGTTAGAAACACAGTATCAACCCATACCTACTGTCCATATGACTCCAGACTCCATTTTGAGAACCTCTGCTCTCCTCTAGAATGTGGGAAGGAAGGGGGGACACAGGAAAGGAGAAACTGGGAAAGTGCCCAGGAGACCTGGACCTATGGAGCAGCAGCATTGGGATTTGATGTGAATGCTGGCAGGACACAATGGAAACTTTCTTCTTTCCTTTCTTATGCCCCATTTCCTACTTCTTTACTTCCTCAGGAAAGGTTTGAAGTGCTCTCTACATCTCCCCATCCCATCTCCACCCACTTCAGCACCTGTCTACTGAGACTTCCTGAACAAAGAATGCAAATACAGGGTGACAGTTACACACTACCTTAGATCACAGTGAGCAGTACTTTAAGAAAAAAAGAAAAAGAAAAAAAATCCTTGGTATCAGACCCCACAGCTCATGAATAGTGAATGCATATGATGCACTTAGGGCAGTGCCTGGTACCTAAGTACTCGCTATACATAGGAGACATATTGGTGGTGGTCAGAATTCTCACAGTGGGACTTGAGGTGGCTCTATAAGCTATTGCTGTCCCCTGTGGATGGATGACTGCTGTATGAAGATTGCCTGTTGGAGATAAACTTGGCTTTAGAAACTTCCAGCTGGCAAGCAAGGCTCCCTGAAGACAATGCTCTTCATCCTACATGGAGGCTGACCATCCACTGAGCTGCTGATGACCTGTCAGAACTGGCCACAGATGCAGAGATCCTGGTTTGGATGGGTATTTGGGGCAACAAGTATAGGAGGAGGGGGATGAAGGACACCAAGCCAAACATAGTTGTATTTCAGAACTTGCTGATAAGAGTTTAGGGTTAGGGACCCAAAGTACCAGGAGTAGAGTGACCAGTCACAGGGTAGAAGGCGGCAGGTTAATGCTGACACAAATGTGGGAGCTTTGAGCAAGCTTGAGATTATACAGTCCACAACCCTCACCCCTGAAGACCAGCTGACACACGAATCGCCTGGCTAGGAGTCCAGGTGACCAGGAGTTCTTGGCTTCAGTGCTCTTCCTTCCTCCCTTTTCCCACAGAAATACAGTTCCATGCCCTGGTACAGCCAGCAGAATGCCACTGGTCAATATGAGCAGCGTGCAGGGGAAAGGAAGTGGGGGTGGGGGAGAGAAGGATGGGGAAAGGAAGAAGAAAAGAGAAATAAAAAGACCAAAGAGAGGAAAGACAAGGACGTGAGAAGGGGAAGAGGAGGTGGAGGAGACGGGCACAGTGAATGCCAGTTCCCACGTGTCCCCGCTTTCCTAGTCCTGAGCGCTGTGTCTACATACGCTTCTTCATTTAGTTGTTAGAACTGTGAGGTTTGGTCAGGAAAGAGTCTAGGGAACGGGACTCTGACTCCTAAGTTAAAAAATAGCTTCCACTTTGTCTGCCTAGGCCCTAAGACCCAGGCTGAAAGTGACCAAATCAACTGAGTCTCTTCTAATGGTGCAAGAGAAATGCAAGTTCAATCATTTTGGTCTGGGGGATCCGTGGAAGAACACTGAGGGACACACAGCCAGCACTGCCCTCTTTGAAGTGAAGATGACAACCCGTTTCAAGTTACTCCATTTTGAGCCTTGGGAGTTCCCGTACTCATACTGTTTCTCTAGACTCTCTGCCCTGAGACTGCACCCTCACCCACGTGGGGGCCAGGGGGAGCCGAATGCGACATGCTAAGTGGAGCCGGTATGAGAAGGAAGAGCAGCAGAAACTTGACTTCCATGTTGGAGTTAGGAGGCGAAGGAGACGGGAAAATAGGGAGCACACTCCACCCTCTGGAGAGGCCACTGCTCAGCTCCAACCTGTGGTCAGGCAGGAAGTAAGGACAGCAAAGCCAGACCATGCAGGCGTGTCCAACCTTTTGACACCACCATATGATGTTGTCATTTACAAGTGTGTCAGGCTGCACTCACACCTATCCTGGGACACACATCCACAGGCCACAAATCAATTCCATCTGGCTGATGCAATGCATGTAGGCTCTATCTGCCCACAGATATAATGGACTACGGTTGTCTTTTTCTGTTATAAACGGAAGATTGATCCTTGTCTATGTCCCTCTCTCTTTCCAGGCCATTATGTTTACGTGGACACTTCCTTTGCCAAGCAGGGGGAGAAAGCTGTGCTGCTCAGCTCTGACTTGCAGGCTGAGGAATGGAGCTGCCTGCGCTTGGTCTACCAGATAACGACACCTCCAGGGTCTGTGTCAGATCCCAGCCAGCTGAACCTCTACGTGAGATTTGAGGACGAAAGCTTCGATCGCTTACTTTGGTCAGCTAAGGAGCCTTCAGACAGCTGGCTTATCGCCAGTCTGGATCTGCCACACAGCAAAAAGAAATTCAAGGTAGGCAGGGTGCAGGAGGAAGGTGCCTTACGCTCTATGAGATCTTTTAAAACTGCTAGTGGGGTTAGTTACATCGTAGAAGATTAATGTAAAGTAATGTTTTGTTCATACCTTAAAAGAACTTCTTCCCAGATTTTCTGCCATCTATTTAAAGGAGAATTTAATAAGACTCTAGATGGTGCTTAAGTTAACCTCTTCAGTAAAAATGGATTTTCTAATGGGTTTGAAGGAGTATTTTTGTTCCCAACAATTTTGCTTCATCCTTCTAAATTGTGTGCAAGGTATGCGTATTCCTACTGGGTTAGTTGCTTCAAAGTCTGAACAAGACATTATCATAAAAGGAAACATGGAAATATTTCCTCTTGAAAGAGGCTAACTGTTCTGTCAGAAGTGTTGGAGGTAGAGGGTGTAAGAGGTGGGTGTGGAGCTGGGAAGGGGCTGCATCTGGAGTGTGTCACTGAGGGCACAAAGGAGTGGCCACAAGAGCTCCATCCCTAGTGTGCCTTTCTAGTCCCATTCACATCTCCCTTCTTTGAAAAGCTTTAAAATACCACATCTTCCTCTGCTTTGGTCTGCTTAGAGTCTCTACGCTTCAGGTGGCCATGAAGAAAGGAGCCATGGGAGTCAGAGTTCCTATTTCACACCATCCTCCCAACAGATATCACATCCCAAATCTACCAGCATCATTGCAAAATATCCAACTAAAACCACAGAAGAAAAGGCTATTACTTTGAGAAACAAGACCAGATGTGAACTCTAACCTTCCTTGAAATCAGTCACATGAATTTTCACACTTTAATCTGTTCTTTGTGTAAAATTCTCAATTTTTCATCAAAGTAGAAACTATGAGTTGATCTATGAGCCTCCATCATCTCATGTGGAGACCTCTGACAGATGTGGACTCCTCCAAGGAATTTCTCTCTCTCTCTCTCTCTCTCTCTCTCTCTCTCTCTCTCTCTCTCTCTCTCAGCCTGTACCATCTTCCCTCTGTTCCTGACCGTTCAGCATGGACTTCCCTAGGGACATCGCTCTCCTCTCCAGCAGTTAACTGCCTCCAGAAGTGCACACACACACACACACACACACACACGGGGGGGGCGGGGGGCAGGGGTCAGGATCACAGTAAAAGATATCCGAGTCCCAACTTCTGCTGGACACCTTGGATACCTTACTCATATCAAAGAAGATATATGTATGCGTTTATTCAGACACATGTATACATGCACACACGTGAATGTATATACACTCATTCCTTTAATGAAGTTCATAGTAAGATCGATGTCCAGTAACAATGAATTCAGACTGATAAACAGTTCCTGACCAACAGCTGAAACACTGGAAAGGAAACATGTGCTTTGAAGTCTGATTTCTCGCCCCCATCCCCTTCCATGTGTTGTACAGATTTTGATAGAAGGTGTCCTAGGACAGGGAAACACGACCAGCATTGCCCTCTTTGAAATCAAGATGACAACTGGGTACTGCATTGGTAAGTGAGTTTCATAATCGTTACATGGGAATGCAAATCTCTTTCTACAGTCTGTTGCCAGGAAGCACTGAATTGATCCTAACGACCAAGCATGTTATAGAGCGTGCTGCAAAATGCATAGTTCTTGGTCACTTGAATGCAGGCGTTGTTTCTGTCCTCAGTGTGGGGAGGCTTATTAGCATTCACTTGAACTGGCTGGATTAATAAAGAAAAGTAGATGCAGCAACTATCTCCTCAGCAGCACCACTCTAATCTCAACCTGTTCAAATAAAAAGTCTGGGCTGCAGTAAACTTTGTTTTTCTGGCCTTTGCCAGATACTCTAGCATTGTATCGCCTCCTCCCTCCTTTTGTTTCATGGCACACCATTACTGCTGCCTTAACTATCACACTTGCACTTAGCTTTCACTTGGTGCAGGCGGGCTGGCTGGGTGTCTGTGTAGTAGCTTTTGAGAGGGCAGGAAGAGAGGACAGTCCCTGCCCTGTGTGTCCAAGTGTTCTTGTCTGCCACTGGCAATAGCGCTCTACATAAAACACTGCAGAGAAGGGCTCCTATGTTATGAGGTGACTGTAGGAGGAAAGGGTTTTCTCAGGGCACAGCCTACAGGGAGAAGGGGTCTGAGTACGACCAGGCACAGGCCAGAGCTGAGCACCGCCTGAAATGGGATCACTCAAGGAGTTTCTTATGAAGAGGCTGGTCTGAGGACAGGGAGCCTGGATTTAGGAATTTTGGGTTGGGATGTGTTACAAGTCAGCCAGCAGAGGCCAGGCATGCTGCTGTGGCTTTCAGATGATAACTCTGGCTTCCATGTGGGAAGCATGGAGGCAAGGAAAAGGCAAATGCTCAGGAGCCAGCAAAACCCTGGAAGAGGCTCTGACCTTACAGATGGTGCATAATGAAGGCCTTAAACTGGAGGTCAGCGCTGCAGAAGGAAAAAAGTCAGTCCATCTGAGGGATGCCTCAGCATTGACAATATTTGGGCTGAGGACTCAGAGCAAAGGGAGCGTCAAAGACCCTGATCAAGGAGCCTTTGCTAATTCCTTGCTACCAAGCTTCTCTGTTTTGATCTATCCAGCGATACCTCTAATGCAAGGAAGGAACACAAACTGAGAAAACGAGTACTTCCTGAAAATATAAAGAGCTTCCACCCAGGCTCCTCCCTTGAGTGCTGCCTGTCAACACACCAGCAACAGTTAGCAGCACCTGGGGAGCGCCACCTTCTGGCTCAGTTTGCTCACTACACCTCCCAGCCTCCTTTGTCACCTGCAAAATGGGGACAAAATGCATCAGACATTAGGTTCTTGTGAGGACTAACCAGATCATGGATGTGAGGGTGGTTGATGAGGTACCGGACACTCCAGAAATGTTCATTTCTTTTCTTCTACTGATTTGAGGCTTCTGGTTTGTTTAAAACAAAAGAGATGCCACATAATTTCATCTTGTTAAGTTGTATGATTGTGCTGCCACCTCTCTGCTCTGTGCCCAGCTCTTCATTCCTCGTCTGTGAAACGAGGTTAATTGTACCTATCTCAAGGGGCTATGTTAAGATTAAGTTAATTGATATAAAAAGCTAAAGTAGTGCCTGGCACACAGAGGAGTATTTTGCTCTTTGTTACACTCCGTGGCAGCCTTTGGCACTGAATGTTGAGCATCATTTGGCAGTCAGTGCTGTGGAAAAGCTGAATATAAATCTTAAAATTTTTCAGCACTTGCTGATCACCATATCAGCTAGGATCCTGGCAGGAAAGTAGAAACAGGAGGTGAAACTAGTCTCAGTAAGTTAAGGAAAGCTCATCACAGAGGTGTGCAGGATAAAGACATCCCGCAGGGGCTAGCACGGTGACTAGAACTGGAACTAGAACTCATGACTCATGATTCATTATCTAGTTAGGTTTTACTGGAATTACTGGAACTTGGAAACTATAGCTATGTCATCAAGACCTCTGGATTAAGCTGTTCCTTCCTTAGTCAACCATGGCAACTTAGCAGCCATGCACCTGGGAGGACAAACCCCTGATGTTATCCTCCTTCACTTCCCATTGATGGAATCCATCAAGAAACCTGAGGTCTGGGCGGGGCGGATGGGATGGGGAGGCCTTGCTGCGTTTCAGACAGTTCAACCTCTGGAGGATGGAGAGTGGAGAAGAGCAGGGTGGGAATCATCCTTTATTTTGTATTTGCAGAATTATGTGGTCAACTTATGTCTTGTCCCCATGAAAAGAATCCGTTAGTGGAGAACAATTTATAGCAAGCATGTCTATGCCCTGAGGCACAGAGGTTTTTCTTCTATCTCTCTAATCTCTAATTAGGAGCTGCAGAAGAGCCCAGGGCCTCAAGTATGCCTGCCCCACCTATTCTGACTAAATACTTATTCATAAGAAAATCGGGGGATTTTTAACATCTTGGAAACATGCCTGTGAGCTTTAGGCACCTTGTTTACCATCTTAACAGAAAGAGATGGAGTACTGGGCTACCAGGTTACAGAAATGGTGGTGGACAAAGTTTCTTAGAGCTGAAATATAACCCTACAATATCACATTAAGATAGAAAAGGTTGGGGCTGGGAGTGTAGGGCAGTGGTAAAGTGTATGCTGAACATATACAAAAATTAACTAACGAATTAATTTAATAGGGATGACTGACAAGGATGGCCAGCTTATATATCAAAGCATAGGCTGTATGCCTGGCATTGTGTTGGGAGATGTTCATGCTTACAGCACTATGTGGTGGGACTGTTGTCCCCCAGCTCACACATGAAGAAACAGAGACTAAGAGAGGTGATAAGGCCTACAACAAGCCATGTGGGTGCTAAGAGGAAGGGCTATGATTCAGAAGGGCGACGATGAATTAGAGCATCAATTCTTTACTAGATGTCTCAGAAGTCCTGGTCCAAAGGTCCCCATGAGAAATGGAAGAGAGAAACTTCAGAATGTCTAAGGGCAGACTCTGAAGTGAGTATGAGTTATCCCGCTGTGACTACACGTCCGTGAAGTGTGAGCCTATCTCTTTTCTCCCAGAATGTGACTTCGAAGAAAACCATCTCTGTGGCTTTGTTAACCGCTGGAATCCTAACGTGAACTGGTTTGTCGGAGGAGGAACTACTCGGAACACTCACTCCATCCTACCACAGGATCACACCTTCAGGACCGAGCTGGGTAAGCTGGCCACAAATGCAGCCCTCTTCCCAGGATGAACTTTGCCCTCAACTCCCACCCCCTGCATTGGCCTGACCCTGGCTTCTATCCACAGAACAGGGGGAAGGGAAGTCACACTGGGAGACCTAGTGGAAGAGGAAGGAAGGACAAACTGAGGTAGAGACTTCATCCATAAGCTCTGTAACTAAGAAGGCCAAGGTCATGCATGGTTAGCTGTTTTTACTTTTCAGTGGAATGCTTTTACTTCCTATCTATTTGTTGTATTCTTATTTCTAATACATGGCTGGAATAATCTCAGGTTACTCTTCACCAAAAATAGATTGAAAAGTGACAAGTTCTTAGGAATTTCCCATGAGACAGCCAGTGCAGATGATTAATCCTTGTGTAGTGTGCAACGGGGCCCCCTGGTGGCTAAGTACATCGGTGCTTTACAAGGAAAAAGCAGAAGCGAGGTTCTCAGCTAGGGCTGGAGGAGAAAGCCTCCAAAAGACCAGGACAAGGGTGAATGCCTTTCCTTGTGGGTCATCGATGTCCCCGTCTGCCCTGTGTAAATTCCTGGGTCCCTCCAGTTACAACAGTTCAGTCCTCAACTCCAAAGTCTTTTCCAAGAGGCAAGAAGATTCCCACTTCCCCTCAAGAGAAAAATAAAACTGTTGGTTCTTTTTCTTCTCTTTCACTGTTGTCTAATCCTTGTAGATACTGAGGCCATCCACTCAATTTTAATAAATTGCCAGTGATGACAGCATGTAGCCTTGCCTGAAGATTTGGCAACATTTTAGGATTCTTTACTATCCCCCCATTGACAATAGTTTCTCTCCATCTAAATATATTTTTAAGCATATCTCCAACTTTCCTTTGAAGGTGCCAACTCTGCAGCTTATCAAGGCTCTGGACAGTCTACCTCCTGATCTCACTCTTTGTTCATTCTTTGCCCCCTTCTTTGTGCCCAGAGTCTCAGATTCAGTTTCCCACAATGGGCGGGGCAGATAGAATTAGCAAGTGGCATATGAACTGAGAGAGGACTGCGGCAAACTACAGAGCAGAGACCTGTGCAGGGTAGTCAGCTCCCGTGAGTGGAGCTGTGTGAGAACATAAACCCAGTTTGCCTGATCTTTTGATTATTCAAGATAATCAGGAAGAAAAGGATATTTTGTGAAATTTCTTGATGTTTAAAAAGTTAATGAATATTATCTTTCAAAATAAATAAATGGGGCTGGAGAGATGGCTCAGCAATAAAGAGCCCTGACTGGGTTTGGTTTCCAGCACCCTCATGGCAGCTAACAACCATCTGTAACTCCAGTTCCAGGGGATCTGATGCCCTCTTCTGACTTCTGTGGGCATTGCACAACATGGGTGCGCTTACATACAAGCAGGCAATGCACTCATGCACATAAAATAAAATAATAATAAAATATTTTTAAGTAAATAAAAGAAAATACTAAACAGACTGACAAAAACTTGGTTAACTCCTACTTTTCAGTCTCTGTTTCACAAGTTTCATTTCCTTTTCAACATGTTCAGGTTTATTAGAACAAAATCCCTTTAAGCAGCCACACATGAATGGATTGGGATCCCATGAGGCTTGCCTGGTTAAGACAAACTCAACTCTGCATCTAGCATTTTCATGTATTTGACCCTGAATTAGGTACAGCAAATTGACAATTGAATGGTGCATCACCAGGTGATGATGTGCTTTTCCCCACAATGACACGGGACAAGATCATACAGGTCAAGCGCTGTCAGAAAAAGAAAGGTGAGAAGTTTCAGAAATGAAAGAAAGATGATAGATATTAAAAACTGGAAAAAGTACTAAGTATTCAGAGATAAAAGAATTCAAGAAGTCATGATGAATGAAGAACAGCACCGACAACCACATAAAGAGGTGTAGATGTTATCAATCTAATTCCACATGTTGTTTGCAACATAATCAAGATAATCTGTTGTTTCCAATGATATTCACTACTTTCAGTGCTTGATATTTCCACAACATACATACAAATATACATTATTCTGGGTCAGGGCAAGGAAAGGCCATGAGGGATTAAAGCTATATGTTTAGCTTACAAAATGAGCCCACAGCCTAGTAAACTTGTTTTCATTGTAAATAAGCTGAGATAGTGTTAAATGATCTCAAACTATAAAATTAACTTTGGCTATAAGGTTAGAGAAGATTGCCATTTGTTGTTCCCAGAAAAGTCATTCCCCACTATGTGGGGCACATGATGAAATTGGCCCGACTCTTCAAAGGGCTCAGATAGCCCCACCTCCAACTCTGCCACCTGCTGCGCACTTAAATTCTCTCTTAGGCTGGCTCCACTACATGCACACAGCTCTCCTTGATGGATGTCCCATGGCCTTGGCATCTCTAATATTTTGGGGTCTCCACTGCAACTTAGGGCTTCACCTTCACTGCCTCATGCAATGGCCTCTCAGAACCTCTGCAGGGACTCCAACCTTGCCACATGTTGCCTGGCCTCAGCTTCTACGATTCCTTCAGTCTTGCATTCTCTATGCCTTCAAAACTAGTACCACAGAAGGATGCTGTCAAATTCTAATGCCAGCTCAGGATAGAGACTGGCCCACCTGGGCCACAGGTGTATCAACTTCTGCATGCTGACCTTGCAGAAACATTTCCAGTGTTTGAATATTCTGCCTTGAAATTTCCTTTTCCAAACAAATTAGTCCAATGTCTTTTTTTCTATCTTTTTAAGACAGGGTCTCCCAGCAGCCACAGCTGGCCTGGAACTCACTATGTGCACCAGGCTGGCCTCAATCTCACAGAAATTCATCTGCCTCTGTCTCTTGAGTACTGAAATTAGAGGCGTGTACCATCATGCCCAACTTAGTCGTATAACTTTAAATTCAACCTCACTCAGGTTCTCTGGACAAAGGCAGAGTGAAGCCAGACTTTTGGCCAAAATAACGCACTGGGCCCCTAGCCCAGTTCCCCGTAGTGTTCTATTCTCTTCTCAAACCTCATGATCCAGGTCTCCACATTTCTCTATCATCATTGTTTTCAAGCTTCCATCAGAATGGAACATTAAGTTCTGCTTCCAGAATTCAATATCTTTTTCCAACCCAAAGTACCAGACTCTTCCACATTCCTCCCAGAAGATAGTGGAAAAGTCTAAGAGCCACATTGTCAGGTTTATCACAGCAATGGCCCCACTTCTTGACACCAATTTCTTTCATAATTCCTTTTCTAATGCTTTAATAAAATACCTTGACCAAAGCCATTTAAACTGGTAATGGGTTTATTCCTGCTCACAGTTCAGGGATACAATCCATCGTGACAAAGAGGTAAGGCAGCAGGAGCTGGAAGAAGTGGAAGGCTGGTCACATTTGCAGTCTTTAATCTAGGATCATGGTCTTCAATTCATAATCCTCCTGATTCAGCCTCTAGAGTACTAGGAGTATACTAATCATTATTTGAAAGAATAAGAAGATATGTGGTCAAATCAACTGGTGAAACTCAGAGTTAAAAAGAAATCTAAATGGATTTATTTCAGGATTCCTCATGGCCTTTAATGTATTTCTGTGTTGATGTATATTATAGCATTTATTACATTATCTAAATAATAAAATGCTACATAAACATGCACCATGATATATAAAGGCATGAAATAAATGATACAGGCCCGCAAAAAAGATGAGAGACTTCCTTGGTTTGGGCATTAAAGGAAGGCTTTCTATAGGAAGTAATGACAGAACCATGGGAATAGTTTATTTCATCTCTTGGGGGTAACTAAGAATGCCTAGATGTGCCAGGTGCAGTGGCTCATGCCTTTAATTCCAGCAGCTGGAAGGCAGAGGTAGGCAGATCTCTGTGAGTTTCAGGTTAGCCAGGTCAGTATAGTAAGTTCCAGGTCAGTCAGGGCTACAGAGTGAAACCCTGTCTTAAAAAAAAAAAAAAAAAAAAAAAAAAAGGCAGTGCCAGGCATGGTGGCACATGCCTTTAATCCCAACACTCAGGAGGCAGAGGCAGGTGGATCTCTGTGAGTTCAAGGCCAGCCTGGTCTACATAGTGAGTTCCAGGACAGCTGGGGCTACAGGGAAACCCTGTCTCAAAAAGACATAAATAAATAAATAAATAAATAAATAAATAAATAAGACAATGCCTATGGAACTGGAGAGATGACTCAGCAGTTAAAAGCACTGGCTGCTCTTGCAGAGGACCCAGGTTGGGTTCCCAGCACCCACATGGTGGCTCACAATCATCCATAACTCCAGTTCCAGGGATCCAATACCTTCTTCTAACAGGCACTATATTTATGTAGAACACTTACATACATGTAGGTAAAACACTCATACACATGAAATTAAAAACTGGAGAGATGACTCAGCAGTTAAAAGCACTGGCTGCTCTTGCAGAGGACCCAGGTTGGGTTCCCAGCACCCACATGGTGGCTCACAATCATCCATAACTCCAGTTCCAGGGATCCAATACCTTCTTCTAACAGGCACTATATTTATGTAGAACACTTACATACATGTAGGTAAAACACTCATACACATGAAATTAAAATTATTTAGCTAATTAAGTAATTAAAATTTTTTAAAGAATGCCTAGATGTAAGATAATGGCAGACTAGCACCAAGATCCTAGGCTATGCTGCTACTGATGATTAGCAGGATGCCTAATTGCCTACATTCTGCTGGCTTCTTCCAGCTCTTCTCTGCTAACCCAGTCCTAGTTCTCCTAAATTTTTGAAGTGACATTTTCCATACTTGTTAGTCAACATCCTTCTCATTCCCACACTCAACACAGGTATGCACATGCACACACACACACACACACACACACACACACACACACACACACACACACACACACACACACACACACACCACAAACTCTCCACTTTAAATAGAATATAAAAAGATAAGTCCTGAAGATTCTAAAATATTTTATCTGTAGAGTTCTTCCCATGTGACTCAAAGGTTTGCCCAGGGTGACTCTTGAAGAAAGAGAAAAAGAAAAACACCAGCACTGTAAAGAA